AGTATAGCGATGGCCTCCAACCTAGTATAGCGATGGCCTCCAACCCAAGTTCCCGGCGTTCCATTTGAATGAGTCTTCGGAGAATACAAGACTCCATCCAATCACTTCGCCGCCAAGAGGCCATTGGCATCCAACTCTTCCGGCTCCTTGAAGAGCGCCTAAAGCGCTTTTCTTCGAAAGCAGTGGGGTGACGGAATTTCCCTTGTGCGTCATGTTTTATTGGGTTCTTCCGTTTCACCAAAGCTTACAGTAAACTTATTGCCAATCGCCTCCGAGCTACTAGGGGTTCCTGGCATCACTACTAGGAGCAAGGACGCTACTATAGGGGCTCCTGTTCTTACTACTGGGTTCCCAACCAAATTCGGCCAACCAAACCCCGTGACGGCTTTGAGGCCGTCGCCACCGCAGAACCTGCGGTGGTCGCCACGCAACTCGCATTGGTCGCACGCAACTCGCACCTGCACATGTGCGGGTGGCTGGGCCTTCAAAGGTGCGGCCTCAATTCGGTCGATGCGAAGAACGCGCTGCGAGTTCGTGCGAAAACGTGGTTTTTCAGAGGGCTCTGCTGGGGAAGAGTTTGAGTCTATAAAGACACTCTACACGGTGATATCAAATCGGGAGGACTTCATCTTCAAAATGAAGCCCGTCACCAATGTCTTGAGACGAGCCGTGTTCATTGTAGACCCTGGGATCAGTTCTCCCCGATCACTTTCAAGGTCTGAAATGAACCCACCCTGAGATCTACTATCTATATAGGGATGTGCTTGCATACGGTAATTTAATTCGAACAAACGATGTCTGCTTCCAAGATTGATTTATAGCCTGGAGCCCTTGCACCTGACGCATGCTTCACTTGCTTCGCGAAACCACATGCCAAGAACTGATGTGCCAAGAATCAAAAAGATGTGCCAAGAAAGCCGCTCGGAACAAGACGCTCGTCAAGTGCAACCTTTTCGGACATTCTGAAGCCACCGGATAGCCCTTTCTGGACACATTCTTAGATCTACGGACTCGGACACATTCGGCAAACGGACGCCTTATATGGCAAAGTGTCGGACCAAAGGTCTCTGGCGCCGAACGGACAGACGATGATAACACAATAAGGCACGTTTGAGCTGTCGCAGTGTTGGCCCACGGACTCTTCAGCGACCACGGCCTGAAAGAATATTGAACATATTATATATATATTGTTTACTCCAACGAAAACCGTTGAATTGATGGGCGTCTTTTTCCCATCGGACATGAATTAGCGCAAGTGTTGATCGTTTTTTCCAATCGGATATCCCTTGGATGAGGTTTGCCTGTCTTGAATTGATCGTCATCTTTCGATGGACAATCCCTTGGATAGTTTTGTGCAAGTTGAATTGATTGTGGTTCATCCCATTGGAAATCTCTCGACATAGATTTGTTATTTCGTCGGAGTTCCTTCGGAATGCATTGAGCTGACGGTCGTCTATTCCATCAGAAATCCCTGGGCACCGATTTTGCATACTATGTATCATCCGTATATCATCCGCATTAAATGAGATAAAACAGTCGGCCCAAATCTTTCTAGAATAAAACTGGTAGGGCCAGCTGATGTAGAGCTGTACCCTGCCTCATGCTCATTAACAAAAAACTTTGCAGCCAAGTCGCCATCTGCTAGCACCTCCCTTTCTGATTGAACACCAGGCCCGCTGACCCCCACAAGTTGAAGTTGTTTTGTTGAAGTTCGACGCCCCAAAGAAAAATTTCCCTACAACCATAGACCGGGAATGACCCTACTTGTGTTCTGTGCCTCGAACTTCAAGCTGGTGAATCTACTTGTCATTAGCCTCGCGTTTTTGCAGCAAAAAAGCACACGCATGTGCTTTGGGGCTTGAGGTCTTTGGCATCATTTTCTAACACCAAAGGTCCATAGTGATCGTCATTTATTCGAACAAGAATCCCTTCGGGTAGATTTGCCGAAACATACCCGTGGAAATCCAACTTATGGTCGCTTGCCTTTAGAGCGCCCGGGGCGGAAATCTAATTTATCTTCACTTGCGTTTAACTCATCCCACTGCACATCTGGGCAATTTAATATGGACATGATGTGTCGTGATGTATTTTTAGCACCCCAGCGGACATCCGAATAGAATTCAAACCTAGCAAGATGGAATTTCAGAACTAGCAAAGTTCCCAGGAACAAAATTGTATGTTCTTGGGATTTTTTTAATACGTGGACCCGTGGACCCCATGTTATTTGAACGCTAGATTCTATGTTCTTGTGGTGACTTGGGGTCTGGCCTCACAAAAATAGGTCTACTTTGGCCTATTCCTCTTGACCCAAGTTGACCCAAGCCCCCCAAAGCAAAGTTGGAATCTCGGACCTGAATTCTCGGAATTCTCGGAACTGAATTTGCAGGAATTTATTTTTGAAGGACATATTTTTCTCTTTGGGGATCGATGTGGCAACATACGGCAACACACTTGTTGAAAGGTCCGCTGAGAGACGAAGATGCGGTTTCAATTCTAAAACCTTTCTGAATCTCACTAAACTTGAAAATTACTTGGACAATGTGTCTATCCAGGTACCAAACCAAGCATGGTCTCCGGCATGTTCCAAAGACTTTACATGCATGTCAGCTTTAAGAGGTAAATCCGATGACCATGACCTTCCGACTTGCCTAGGTTTTCTCTCCTGATTAGGGGCTGCAGTTTAAAACAAGCGCTCAACCTCGAGTCTGGGTGATTGAAGAAGAGTCATGTTTGGGTCCGAATCTCCTGTGTACAGCTCTTGTTTGGGTGGAGCGGCGAAACGGCACTCCGAAGTCGGGCCTTTTCCGTTCCTGTTCCGCTCCGAAGTCGGAGTCGTCAAGTCCGGGAGTGGTCAGATGGAACCAAAACAAGAGATCCCACCAAGAGGTCCTCATGGCAGCGTTTTGGAACCGCAGGATCTTTCTGAAGAAGGTGGTTGACGATTGTTCTGAAAAGGTCCCCTGGTTCAAGATGATGCGATATTACTATGGTCTTGCAAAAAACGAAATCCCATGTTCGATCCACGGAAAGCTTCCTTTCAAAAAACAAAACTGCTGGAGGGACTACGGTTTAGAACCCCAATAACGTGGGGGAAACCTCTCCACACGTCGTGTCTCCACACGTGTTCCACGTCGTGTTCGTTCCAAGGTCTGGACAGGAGTGCTCAGAATTTCGGCCTGGCGTCGCCCAAAAGCGGGAAGTTCTGGACCTTGGGTTGGTCACTGAAAAGCCACTCTCGTGGGGCCAAAAAGGATGATGGAACATATAGAGCGTATATATTAAATATGGACGAATATATTGCCCGCTGCCATATGTGGTATGCATTTCGGACATAGATGTGGTTCGGATTTCGGATGCTCTACTTCAGGTGCGGCTGACAATCACTGTTCAGCCTGTCTCACGCATCGGCCCAGCAAACCAAGACGGATGACATAATTGAGCTGAATAGCTTCTTGTTACTGCTGGTAAGGCACTTGTTACTAGTAGTAAGGCACCTTGCTACTAGTAGCTTTCTTGTTACTATCAATCACTAAAGTCAAAGCAACCAAAGAACACTTGCATATGTGCTGCATATTTGCTACTTGCTTTGAACCCAAAAAGTCAGAAAAACTCCGTTCCATGAATCTCTTTTCTTGAGCATCCCAAAGGAACATTCACCCCAAATGACCATGTCATCTCTCCCTGAAGCCATGCTCCCGTCGTTGCTCTCGTCACCACAAGTGATGATCTTCTTGGCATTTCTCAAGAGTGATGATCCCAATGAAGGGGGGCGGCCACAACGTCCATCAGGTTGGTGATCCTTCGTCCATCAGGTGGCGCTTCACGTCCCAAAGCGGCGCCAGTGGTGGAGCTTTCTGAGTTGTTTCCAATACTGTGCGAAAACCTCATAGTCAATGGAGCAACTGAGAAATATACACACCGCACTCCGACTCCTCACATGTGGTTCTCATCAGTTGACAAAGCTTTATCATGCATGAGTTTCCTGCTGCCAACCAACAGCTGTCAATAGCTACAGTGTCACTCTGTGACCGGCATTCATATTACCCCGGAACCGCAGAACAACGGCTGGGCGGCGGACGTGCCGAAGAAACACGGTGGGCAGGTCGCGATGGCTTCCGGTTGATCACCGAAACCGATTGTCTTCATGCGTGGGGTGACGTTCTTGCTACTAGTAGCGATGGCCTCAAACCTATACAATAGCAACGGCCTCCATCTCTTGTGGTCACCCCCCTGCTCACTTGATGCAAATGGGAAGGAGAGGACATGCTGCAAACTGTGTGGTTTAGGAACAGCCATCATGTCCTGAGGAACACCCCAAAAAATATGGCGGATGATGACGCCTTTAGCAAGTGGACCTGTGTTTCGCTTCTCGTTAAGCAAACCGTTCCGAAAACGAGGGTATGAGTTGCAGAGAATATTATACTTGGCCCCGTTGGAATTCTCAAACCGCTCCTTATAGGCCCAAAGTGGCCTAAAGCCTCGGTCTCCAAGCAAAATACTAACACAAAAACGCTGCGCATACGCACTTTGGTAGACACAAAGCCCCCGGAAAACAAAAAACGGCGCTCTGATGACTCCCACACCAGGAATGCAACTTGCGTGATTAAGCAACACTTTACGCTGATCGCCTGGTGCCTGCATGCCCTGGGGATCCCTGGGGTTGGTGGCCTCGGGTTGGTTGCCATGCGCCCGTTTTCACTGCCCTGGGCGGCGCATAGCTACGACTTGCTACGACCGGTCTCCGCAGATTGCGCCTGCACGGACTGAAGCAGCTTGGCAGCGGCATCCTGGAGATCGAAGGCGACGTGGGACGCGAGGTCGGGAGACCTGCTTGAGAGGTTGGGAGAATCACATGAGACCAGTGTTCCTGGGGCAAACAAATAGGCGAATGAGATCTACAAGCTCGAGTTGGAGCACCCCGCATATATGTGCTGACCAAGTTCTTGAATAAGGATGCGTCTAAAGCTTTGTCAGAATGTGCAACTGGAGTGGGCAAAAGGCTGGCACTACAGTAGGGACGTTTGGGGTTGAGCCCTCTTGGAAGGTTTCTGAACAACGGGTTTCGTGTTCGCAAAAAGCTGCATCAAGTGCCGTCTTTTGTTCAACATGGCGAAGCGAACAACAAGCAGGAAGTAACTCTTCTAAACTGGAAGATCCGGCCTTGCAGTGAAAGTAAGCCACTCCCAGTGGTAATCCAACAGTGTTCTGCAGGGTATTTTCAGGACGAGTTGCACTGTGGCGGCCCATGTTCACACGTACACATCCAGGTCGTGTGGAAAATGAGCATAGGATTCTCCTCTATATCCATTTAGATATGGTGTAAGAAATATGTTTCTCCCGTTTTCCCACAATTACCTACAAAATATATCAAAATATTAACACATGAGCAGGGTCAACATCTGATAATTGGATTACACATCGCTGTGATGTCGCTTCTATCTCCCCCAAACTCGTCCGATTGCATTTTTGTTCAGTCCTGTTTCATGGGTTCAACAAACCTATAGTCATTGACATGGGTGTCTCTGTATCACTGAAACCCTTCCGATCCTTTATTGAATCCAACATGTTTAACACCAATCATCAAGAGCACCTGTTTGGGACACCACTGGATATACAGAAATGAATTCCGCCGAGTCTTATATGAGTCTTCGGCCCGCACATGAGTCCTGCTTAGTCATGATGTTCTAGACTTCCCAAACTAACCACCTTTCAGTACGGATGCCAGTTGTTCTACTCACCAAATTGCTGAGGGTGAGACGCATAAAGATTGCAGAATGGCCCTCATTGTCCTAACATGCGTTCTTGACATTGGCCAAAAGGGATGTCTCTCTACCACCTCTGCGGATTCCAATATGTTCCAATATATAGATTCCATGTGGACATGATCCGCGCGAGAGTACGCAGTGACATCCTCGCGACATCCTGCTCCCTGGTGCTCGGTGCCGTCTGCGCCTGCTGCTCCTTCTTCTTCTCCTTCTCGCGAGCCTCTTTTTCAGCCCGTTCCTTGGCTTCTCGTTCCTGGAATGTCCGGGCGTGGTGGAACATGCGCGTGGCACAGCCATATCTTCAAAACATCTGAACAAACACGACCGATGCAGTTGGTTTGAGGGAACTTAAAGTTACGGTACTTGTTACGGTACTTGGTAGATGATTTTTTTGTTCCGTATGACAGTCAAGTTTGTCCAGCGAAGCCTAACTCTTGGGGCTCTTGTTGGGGCCAACATGGACATACTCAAGCTTAAGAGTCTGCAAGACACTCTCGACCTACACTGTCCAAGAAACAACACGTTGGCCATTCTATCCTCCAACGATCTGGAGACAGCTAATACCGGGCTCGACTTCGGGGCAACACAGTGGGCCATTACCTCGTGCACGGACAGAGATGACAAGAAAGGTCACGGCAGGACTATATAGTGACAGTGGGTTTTTGGATGTGTTCCAACTCCCTATCCCATGTGTTTTTGACTAACCTCTGTAGCTAGTCTAGTCACATGCAACACAAAATGTCAACAAAAAAACCTACCACCATTAGGAACTTGTTACTACTAGTAACAAGTGCCACGCTAGTAGTAACAGGTGCCTTACTAGTAGCAACAAGAAGCTATTAGAATTAAAGGAAGACCGTCCGCTTGCATCCGCTTGCCACCACTTGGCACACACGGCCGGTATCGTGTAACCGCTCTTGTGACAGGGTCGATGCCCACTGCCGGTCTCGGATGCGCGGTCTCCGGTGATAGCTCCATGACCCGAAGGCTTGAAACACTTCATGTATCATATCACCGCCTCCCCAAGCAAGCTGACACTTTGAAAACATACAAAGCATTGCAAAACTATCAATCCGGCTCTGCTTCGCGTGTATTTCTCGTCTATCCCACTCTGCCTCGCGTTCTTTTCTATCTGCCTCCTCCTGCTTCTTCCTCTCCTCCTCCTGCTTCTTCCTGGAGATTTTGCAGCCGACTCGTGAATCATGAGACTGGAAAGGGCAATCGAAACAGACTCATCCTTTGGCCTCCACCCTAATAGCAATGGCCTCCACCCTGTCCTTTTGGTCCTTGCCAAAGTGCAGACTGGGGATTCTCACCCATGGGCCACCAGTGAAACACCCTCCTGGACCTCCCTCTCAAAATAAAAATATTTTTACTATGTACCAGTAACAGGAAGCATCACGAAGTTTCCCCTAGACTCTGATTTGCTTCCCATCTTCCAGTATCACCCCATTTTTATGACTAAAACTCACGAGGCTCAGAACGGGAAACCATGGATACCCCTTTCTCCTCCGGCTTGCCATCCCAGAAACCAGTGCTCTGCCCATTTGGCGCCTCTCCGCGGCTTCGGCCTCTTTTTGGGCCTGATGAGACGCAATGTATATCTCCAAATAACACGGAGAAACATCAACACTCAAAAAGTGTTAAAACATGTTAAAGCCATAGCCATGTAATGTCTTTGGCAACACCCTCATGGAGGAAGATTGACATTAATATTGACATGCTGACCTGATAACAAGCGGTTTAAATTTTACCAGAGAACATCGAATTGGCTTTAAACATGAGTCCCGAAACCATGCCCACATGTGATGGTCATGGTCACATCCTCGCAACTACCCGAAATCAACAGGTTACTTCCTTGTGAGGTTCCCACCTGCGTGGTCATGTGAGTTAAATCGTGTGACCTTCCTTGAATGAACCATTGGTTTCAAGAACGCGGACCATACCTCAACAACATTATAGTCATGTGGCAAAATACTGCCCTCCCACAGTGTCTTATGCTGGCAGGTTATTGTTCAAACGTATTTGTGCGATTTTAAGCTCCCGTGGAGTCTGCTGAAAAATCCACATGAAGATTCCAAAAGGCGCACAAAAGTCACATGATTTTGCTAAAATGTGAATGTGGCTGTGGGAGGTATAGAAGACATTTCTCACCTTAGGGTAGGTCGGTCAGTTCATGGGTGATCTTATAGTGACCTCTGTTGGTCGATTGCGGGTTTCTGTTATCCCGAGATATCCACCATGTTCCAGACTCCAGTCATGACGTCGTCCCAGTTCCAGAAATGAAAAGAGGGAAAGCACTTGAACTTGGGTTCCTTTTCTATTTTACCCAAATCGGTTGCAGCGTCTCACCATGTCTATACAGCAAAGGTCACGTGAGGAGTTACACCTTCATGGCCCCTGCGGTTGGGTTGGGGACCCCGTTCAACAAAAGCAAACAAAGCCAAAGGGCTCAGGCATTCAATGAAATGATGACAAATGACCCACCAGAACCAAAAGCACCACTCATGAGAACACGTGTCGGACATAGACCTCACCTTTTCTCTAAGCACCTCACCTCTACTTTCCACCCCCAATGCCGTTTTGGGACTTGTATTTTTATGACCAACCCACTCCCCGATGGGACTGCCACTGATGCCCGAATCCCCAGCATGTCGCAGAAAGACGACGCACCAACGACAAGTGCACAGAACGGACGAATCGGCTCTCGGAGCCACACCACCGAGGCGGCAAACCACATAACACAGCGACATGATCGTCCAAAGGAAAAGCGACACAACCCTTTCGATTTGGAGGTTCTGTCCAGTTTGGATAGGCGATGGTTGAATGCAGTGACTGGTGAGATTTTTGGAAGCCCTTCCTGGATCGGGACCCCCCAATGAAAAGTAACAACACCAGCACCAGATATGTTTTTGTGTTTTTTCTGTGTGTGTATTTGAGTTTTAGTTCAAGATCATGCCATTGTCCATTATACCCACTCTTCAGCACTCCATCAAACGTGCAAGACGCAAATCCCACGACCCCGCCGGTCCCGTGCCGTCTTTCACCGCACAAAGCGGAAAAAAACACCCACGGTGGCATCTATATACGTCGATGGCACTTGTTACTACTAGCGTGGCACTTGTTCCTACTAGCTTCTTGTTACTACCAGTAAGGCATGCAGGTGCGGCTACTTCCACATTTCCCCCAAAACATGACAGTTCTGCGCTCCATCGCCCTCCCCCCGTTTTCTCCCTTTGGTGAAGACTGGGCGAACTGGTCACAGATTCAGAAAGTGTTGACTTTCCATGTTTCTTGGGGTTGTGTTTGGGGAATTTGCCTCAGCTAAAACCATGCGGTGGTAACCCAGCTGAAACTTTGACTTTGTTGTTCAAATGAATCACTCTGGTCATCGCCTGAAACCGCTTATTCAACACTCATCTCACCGGCCTTTTCTTCCGCCTCCTTCTGTTCTCGGATCTTTCGTTCTTCTTCTTCCTATGGCGCCGAAATCAAGGAGGCCATGTCCGTTTTGGGAGGCCATGAATGACGTATGGCGAGGAGGCCATTTCTTCAAACTCGCTTTGGAAACTGATTCATGATGGACAAGTGCTCGTGCTACTCCTGAAAGCGGGTGATCCTGGAAGACCTCTGTGTGCGATTTCTGTGGATGAGTGGCAACTTCGATGGGGACACCCAAAGCTGACCTGGATTCCACGGAACAGCATTCGCAATCAACGCAGGTGACGGTGGCATGGGATTTAGTCCATCAAATGTCTTCTCAAAAGTAAACTCACGGTGTTTTGCATGCTTTGTTTCGCATCTCTTCTTCGTGCTGAAAGAGGCCAAATCCACTAGCCCCCAACTTATAGAAACTGTGCAACGCCTCCAAATATGCAAAATCTAGTGGCTTCTCTAATTATTCTCAGGTTGCCTCCGGGTATTATTGATAGTTTCGACTGAATTTCACGACCCAGGGAAGACTGCAACATCCCAGCATTAGTTTTGATTGCGGAACCACTGGTGGGTTGTGATGGTTGACATGCCGAATCCACAAGCCCTGGGACACCAAGAAACGGGACGCTGACACTACCACCTCTCAAGGTCTCATTTGGTATGTTGAATGGTGGACACACACATAGTCATGAACTAGCGCTAACCAGGCTAAGCCATCGCATCAGGAACCACAAGCGCTCATTTTTAGTGACTGCCAAAAGGCTTCATACAATGACCTGACCAGTCTCGGTGCTCCTCCCCCATCATGTAATTAAAATATATACTTACATATATATATATATATATTTATACATATACATAATGAGAGCACACGCACGCGCACACACTTAGATCCATGCTCGCAAGAGCTATATCAGTTTGGAAATTCCTGTGAGCTAGTTGTGTAGAGTGCTCAAACCTTGACCTGGCAATGGCCCTGCGAGGAACGGAAAGGTGAAGAGTCGGCAACAATATGGTTTACATCACAGGTGATTAAAAAAGCAGGTACGTCATCAAGCGTCCTTGCTGATATCAGCACAGCCTGAAGAGCCTCTTTGTTAGATGCCCTCTCAGGTGTGGGGCATCCCCCTGCTTGGCCGTACGACGTTAAAAAACTAGAAAGGTTTGAGTTACTGTGGTCATGCTCCTTGGAAACAGGAGTTGACACACTTTGACACTGGTTTTCCGTTAAGCTCAATTTCTCCGATGGGAAGAAAGGTGATGGAACGGCAAGGTGAACAGGTCCGGTGATTTGAAATGTTGAACATGGTTTCACTCGCTCTGCTGGCTGCACTGCACGAAAGGTGGAAGGCTGCGGCGGGAAACCTGTTTGTGGGGAAAGTATCGTGTGGAACCACCATGAATCAAACCAAAAGATTGGACAGCGTGTTCAAAAGTTGTAGCAGGTACGCAGGGTTGATCGGACCCTGCTTCCCACTCTCGCCCACAGCTTCGTTGCGTGTGGTAGGGCGAGAGTGCCACACGCCCCTGCCTGTGTAAAGTGGAAAGAGTGGTGGTGAAAGACCCTTTGTCCAGGGTGGGACACACAC